GGGGGGGGGGGGGGGGCAAGAGAGCAGTGATGCGGTGCTAAAATGAGGCGATCGAACCTGGGCTTAGTCCTGGAGTGAGTGGGGAGCCATGGGAGAGTTTATCACGGAAGAGATGCGCTCACTGTACCTCTGGGTAGATGTCACTGCCCTTTTTAGGTATGCCCGGGACAACACAAGCGGGGGGAACGGGGGCGGGGGGGGGCTCACGCCGCACAAGCTGTCCTGCACTGTGCTTTTTTTATGAGTTAATATAACAGACAAAGCAAACGCCAATCCTGGACCAAGCCAGTTTGGGTACCGAGGATACAGCAGGCACTGACTAAAGAGAACTCACTGTCCTGTAGGGGAGACCGTGGAACCTGGCGGGTCTTCGTGATGGCGCCTCGGAGTATCAAGGAGGGCTTCCAGGGGGCTGTAACTGGAAGCGAGACCTGAGGGGGTTGCGATGGAGCTGACCACAGCGAGACTAAGGAGAGGGGCTCTCCCCTTAGTGCTTCGTGCTTCTAAGCTGAGGAGCCACGCGACCAGATTTGTTTTGTCAAAAGGTCACGTTGTTGGCTGCCTGGTGGGCGATGACTTGGAGACAGGGAGACCCCTAAGGGAACGGTGGTGGTGCAGAGAGGTTTGGATTTAGGACAACGTGGAAGGGTACACTCCTCTGGTATCTCGACTCCTGGTAGTCCCTTCAGCCCCACCGGAACCTGTAGTCCATCAGTACGCCCACCTCCGTGTCAGTCTTCCCCACTGCTCCATACACCCTTCTTTCCCTTAATGTTTTGCACACGCCCAGAGCCGCCGCCACCCTGCCCCCTCTCTCTGGCTTAACAGGAGTTCTTGGCTCCTGCCCCTGCGCAGCTGAACATCGTGGGAAAGAAACACTCAGCCTCCCTGACCGGTCTCCTGATTGCTCCCCCACTTGTCCCCTCACGCTACACTGGTTTTCCTGTCACATTCCTTGGCCCTTTGCTCTCTCTTGCTCCCCCTCAACCAGTGTCAGGCCATCCCTCTCAGACTCCAGCATCTCCTTTCAGCTTGTCACGTGGCATCCTCTTAAGAAAAGAGATGCAGGGACTTCTCTGACATGCCAGCTTTAAGACTCTGCACTTCTAAGGCAGGGAACAAGGGTTCAATCCCTGGTTGGGGAACTAAGATCCCACATGCCACAAGGCACAGCCAAAAAATGTTAAGAAAACAGATGCAGCCAAAACTCTCTTGGGCTCCCTTCATCCCTGCTTCCTACTGGACTCCACCTTCTCTCCCGTTACTCGATCTGCCCCAGCTTCAGCTAAACCTCTGCTCCAGTTGAACCCTCTGATGCCCTTCATCCCATCCTCTCACCCACCCAAGCACTGTCCCAACCAGTCTCTTCTCATTGGACATTGGTTTTCCCATCAGCATGCAAATTCACTGTTATTTCTTCTGTTTTTAAAATATTCTCCTGCCCCACCTCCCCATCCAGCTGTCTCCCCCAGCTTCACTGACAGGGCTCTGGTCAGGCTTCCTCCCCACCCCCACTCTGCTGTGTTGGCAAAACCCCATTTCAGAGTCTTAGTTTTAACTCTATTACAGCAGCAGCAGACACAGCCCTTCCTGGGGGCTCCTCTTCACATTGTTCCAAGACCCAACAACTGCCCAACTCCCTGCCTTGTAAATGCCCAGTGTAAATCCACATTGCCTTCTGTCTCCAGTCATTCTCACCCCTCCCTGGGGGTCTCTGCTCATCCCCTGGTTTCAAAGGGCTTTTGTGAACCAGGGCTGGAGTTTTTGCTTTGTTTTTAATTGGAGGATAATTGCTTTACAATGTTGGTTTCTGCTGTACAACGTGAATCAGCCATAAGCGTGCATATGTCCAGGCTACCCAGATGGCACTGGTGGTAAAGAACCTGCCTGCCAATGCAGGAGACATGGATTATTCCCAATCCCTGGGAAGATCTCCTGGAAGAAGGCATGGCAACCCACTCCAGTATTCCTGCATGGAGAATCCCACGGACACAGGAGTCCATGGGGTCACAGTCAGACACGAGGGAGCATGCATGCACATGTGCAGCACCAAGCGTTGCCAAGCATCTTACAACATCTCGCTCTGCATGTTTGCTCAGTGTCTTCCTCCGAGAGCAGGCGTCCATTCTTGCATAACATGTTCCCCATGGGTCCCCAGCACTGAGCACACAGTAGGTGCTCCAGAAATTCTGGCTGCTGATCGATTATGCGGAAGCATCTGGTATGAGGGGCAGTACACTGACATGGAAACCATCACAGACAGCAGATGGACACGAGGCCTGGGGATCAGACGAGCTGAGGGTGGGGGCCTGAGCTGGGGTCTGGGTTACAGACTGGAGACCAAAGCCACGGATTAGAATGAGCAGAGAGCTCTTAGCAGGAACCACCAGAAGCCAGCGCTTCAGCTTTGGGCAGAAAATGGATGGACAGCCAGAGAGATGGGGGGAAACCTGGGGAGGGTATGGTGGAGATGAGGGCCGCGGGAAAAGAATGTTCGAGAAAGAAGCAAGAGGCTGAGGAAGCATGGTGCCCTGGGGTCCCGGATGGCTCTGGAAAGAGCCAGTGTGTGGGCAGGGCTGGGGTGGAGTGTGGACGCTGGTGGGTGGCAGACCCTGGGCCAAAGTGAGACAGAAACTTGGCTGAGAAGCAGAGGGGAGAGGAGCCAGTGGAAGTGGATTGCAGGTAAGCAGTGGAAACTTTGTGAGGACTTGTGGCTACTTGTGAGGACCTTCTGGGACAAGAAAGATGCTGGTGTAAGCTGAGTGCTTCCCTTGATGCAGGAAGGCTGGTCCTGAGCGCCCCCTGCCAGAGGGGGCGGAGCTCAGGATCACCAGCACAGCGGGCACAGACTGGGGTGTGCCCTGACCGTTTCTTAGAGCCCCAGATGAGCCCCAGTTGAATGAAGGTTGATTTCATCCAGGTCATCCAGGTGGGTGGGGCAGCAGGACCTGAGGGTTATTAGTTCAGCTCTCCAAGAGGCGGGCACTTAAGCACTTTACATGTAATTGCTCAGCTCACTTCAGAGCCAAGTCTGCATTAGGGGAAGAAGCTGAGGCTCTGAGAAGTTACAGCTCCAACAAGGGTAGAGCTGGGATTCGAGTCCACAGGCAGCCTGCCCGCCCCCTTCCCCCCACACACACTCACATACACGCAAACACTGGATTGGGCCCAGCAGAGGGGATTGCAGGCTCTGCTGGTAGGACTGTCTGCAGAGTGACCCTGCGGGGTGGAGCGGCAAGAATCTCGTGTGGGTGTGGGTGTTGATGGCAGGAGAGGGACTCTGCCCTTGTTGCTTTTGTGCACATCAGAAGGCTGCTGCCACCTTGGCTGAGCCTCCCCGGTTCCCCCTCCACCTGCAGAGATGGTGGCCACTCAGCAGGAGATGAATGACGCCCAGCTGGTGCTCCAGCAACGAGACTACTGTGCCCACTACCTCATCCGGTTTCTCAAGTGCAAGCGCGACAACTTCCCCAACTTCCTGGCCTGCAAGCACGAGCAGCACGACTGGGACTACTGCGAGCACCTCGAGTGAGCCCCCAGCCCGCCCCACATCCCCACGCGGGGCCCTGGGCCCCCGACTCCAGAGGCAGAGGACTGTGAACTCACACTGAGTTTCCAGCCAGGCCCCCCCGCCTTTAGTAGAAAGAGGAAGCCGAGGGGGTACCGGGTGGGCGGGCCTGGAGGAGTGGCCCAGCCGGGTTCCAGGTGGGAGGCCCAGTCCTTGCTCTTGGCTCAGTGGTGTTAAGGTAGCGGGCGGGCCCCAGACCTAATCCGCAGGCACACGGGTCTTCCCTCCTTGGGGAGACGCCCCGCACACACAGGCCCATCAGCTCCCGGGCCACAGGACGGTCGTGTCCTGACACCCCGGCTTGTGCTCTGCCTGCAGCTATGTGAAGCGCATGAAGGAGTTTGAGCGGGAGCGGCGGCTGCTGCAGCGGAAGAAGAGACGGGAGCAGAGGGAGGCGGACATGGCCAAAGGCCTGGGGCCTGGCGAGGTGGCCCCCGAGGTGGCCCTGTAGCGAACCTGCCCACCACTCTGTGGACCAGTCAAGAAATAAAAGCCTCCAGGCCCCGCGGCCCAAGCTCCGCCTGCCTATGGTGTGCTGGTCCCTGAACCAATCCCCCAAAGAAACATGGCCGAGTCCGAGTCCAGCCGGGCAGGCAGGTTTTATTCCAGACCCTGGAAAGCAGTGGTCCCCACTCTTCCTCCAGCAGTGTGGGGCGGGACGGGAGCCGGACCTGGCTGAGCCCAGGTGTGGGGAGCCGCCGTTCAGAGCAGGAAGGGGATAATGGGCATGCGCAGGGGCGGGTAGTCCCGGAACTCCTTCAGGTAGCTGCGGTGCTTGCCTTTAGCCCAGATGGTCATCTGGGTGAAGCCCACCAGGGAGAAGAGGGCCACTGTGGGGGGAACAGGGGCGTTAGGGGGAGCGGGCTGCACGCTGCGGGACAGACGGGGCCCCCGGGAAGGATGGGGCCAGGCTCACCTGGGAGACACTGCGTCATGATGGCAAAGCCGATCCACGACCCCACCTGTGGGGAGAAAGGCCAGATGAGGGCGGGCAGGGGTGTTCTGTTGAAGCCTCGCCCACCCTCGGGGCCATTTTCTCAGAAGGGGATGGCAACCGACCTCCAGTGCTGGAGCAGCCAGGAGTGAAATGGGGGCTGCATGGTGAGGCTGCCAGCCTGACAACCGCCCACCCTAGGCCCCTAAAAGGCCACAGTCTCCCTCGCCAAATGTTAAACTTCAAACTGCAAAAGCAGCTACAGAGCCAGGCACTGCAGCCCCCACCAAAGCTAGCCCTCCCCAGGGGACTCCAAGCCCAGGGCAGACCCTCACCTCATAGGTGTAGTTGGGGCAGGACACCAGCAGGAAGAGCCAAGTGAAGGGGTTCTTGGTGGGGTACGGGATCTTCCTGGTCTTAGACCCTGGGAGGACAAGGCAGAAGCAATGAGTCCCCCAGGCCGGCATGCTCCGGTGACCACACCCCTGCCCGCTGCCGGCCACTCACCAGCCGGCCGCAGGTCCCGGAGAGCCATGTGGATGGAGAAGTTGCCGAGCTGGCAGATCTGTCGAGAGAAGGCGGGTCAGCTCAGAGGCCCCCAGACTCCCCCATCCCTGCTGTCCATCCTGGCCTGCTTACCACAAAGATGGCGAGTGCCAGTTTAACCTGCTGAGCTCCGTAGGCTGAAAAGGAAGCCAAGAGGAGAGGCCCGTGAGGGGAGAGTCGGGGGGGGGGAGGGGGTGGTGTTCCCAGGGGGAGCAGGTCCCCGGCCACTTACTGGGGGGTGTGTAGAGAGGGTGGTTGATGTAATAGGCCATCCACGCAGCGAAGCCCCAGTAGTAGGTGCAGTTCTGAAAGAGTGGGGCGGGATGGAGGCCCCGTGGAGGGCGGGACCCAGGTGAGGGGGACCAGGGAGGGCGGGGCTGGGCTGGGCTGAAGGACCTGGACTGATGGGCAGCTCGGGGCTCACCTTAAAGATGTTTCGCAAGGGCATGGTGCCATGGGAGAAGCGGTGCACGAAGAGCGTCTCCAGCAGGCGCTTGATGTAGTGGAATGAGTGGCAGATGCAGGCGAGGCTGGGGGCGGGGAGCCAGCTCAGCGGGGGCGGGTCTGGCGGGCCCCCCTCCCCCACGCCTCCTCCCAGCTGGCCCCACTCACTGCACCACCGTGTGCCGACTGGACGTGAAGTCGTATTTGTGGCCGTAGATGAAGGGCACCCGGAAGTAGAAGAGCAGGTAGATGAAGAGGGGTCCGGCGTACTCTGTCAGGAAGACCTGGGGAGGGGAGGGTGGTCACCCTGGGGGCAGCGGGGAGGGGAGATTGCTAGGGGGGCAGGGCTCAGCACTCACCGTCACCCAGCTGATCTGGGCTCCCAGGTCCCGGAAGTAGAGTGTGGCCGTGGTGCCCACGGGCAGCTTCTGCAGGACATCCTCATCCTTCAGGGACTTGCCCTCTGAGGAGAGTCGGGCCGGGGCTCAGGGGCTGCTGGGCCTTCGCCCACGGCCACCCGGCAGCCCGGGGGCAGCCCAGCAGACAGCTGTACTCACTGGGGTCCAGGCGGAGGGACTGGCGGGCGGGGTACCACTGTGGGTCTGTAGGGAGAGTGGGGTGTCAAGGCACACGGCCTGGTGGGCTCCTCTGGGCCCGGGTGTGGCTCCGGGACACGGACCGGAAGCGCAGGCAAAGCGGGATGTTGTCCTTCCGGAAGCCCTGCAAGGGCGTTCCTGCCGGTGGCCACACGGGGGCGACGGCCCCAGGCCAGCCCGGAGAGGCTTGGGCCACACCAGGGGCATCTCTGCAGGCCCTTGAGGGAGAGGCAGGCAGGATGGGGTCCCACCTAGAGGCCTCTGCCCAGAGGGGTCACAGGGGGGCCGTGTGGCTGGGCCCTGGACTTACGTGTCTTGGTGAAAAGGTTCTTGATTTCGGCAATGGTGGCTTGGGGCTCCACCTGGGGGAAGCACAGGCCGGGGACAAGTCAGCCGTGGCGGGGAGTTTGGAAGGCCGGGGGCCCAGGATCTCTCGGGCAGGTGGGATGGCCTGAGGTCCTAGGCAATTGCTATGGGAGGGGGAGGGTTGGAGACCAAGCCCCTCAACCCATCTGACCGACACCACAGCCATAGACTGGAAGGCCATTTTAACCAGGCAGCCAGGACGCCTCTGGACCAGCTGGGAGATGGTGTGAGCACAGAAGCCAAGCCTGCTTTGCCCCTCCTCTCCACCCCACCCACAGCTCCTCCCAGAGTGAAGGCCCACAGTTTGTTCCAGACCTCCCTGGGATGGGACCACCCCTGTCCCTGGCCTGGCCTCAGAAAGGGGCAGGTCTCAGGACCCCACCTCCCTCCCAGGCCCCAGAGCCCTGCAGGGTCCACTGAAGCTGCGCGGCCTCCTCATGCACCATAAGGCCAGCTCCGGACCACACCCAGGGAACAGGGCGCTCTGCCCCAAGGGGCCGGGTGGCAGGGGCAGGCCCAGGGACACACCCGTCCTGCACACCCTGAAGGGCAGGCGGTGGGTGTCAGGACACAAGTGGAGGGGCACATCCATCTCCCTGGGGGCCAAGAGCCCAGGAAAGGAGGGGTCCCAGGCCCAGCACCCTCAGGCCCACGAAGCTGGCGCCACAGCCGGTCCTACCTTGTCGAGGAAGCACAGCTTCTCCCGGGTCTTGGCGTCCAGAATCTCCACCTCAAAGAAGAGAACGGCCTTTTTAGGTTTCTTGGTCGCTTTGGGGGGCGTAGGCCGGGGGAGGCCGTTGAGTCCAAAGCCAGGGCCGAGGCCCTGGCTGCTGTCCCGGGCCACCAAGCTCACGCTCAGGTCCATGCCGCCCCGCTCTGCCCGCAGCGGCCAGAGTCCCCAGCTGCCGGCCGTCAGCCCCCACCACAGACCTCCCCACGCGAGGCGCTCTGGGCCGGGCCGGCGCGATCAAATTCTGCCGCGGTGCTGGAAGGAAGCCCGTGCCTGCCCTGGCACTGCCAGCTTCTGTGCAGATGTAACCTGAGTGGCCCAGCAGCCACGGCCCAGCTAAATATAAAACTGCTCCACACGGAGTCCCCAGGAGCCACGCCACAGAGCTCCTGGGGAGGGGGGGCCTGGGGGCAGCCCCCCCCCCCAAGCCTGGGGGGGCTCCAACTGTAAGGCTTTCCCGTGGACATGGACCCCCAACAGCAAGGCAGGAAGGGAGATGCCCAGGACTGGCACGGAAGCGGCTCCCAGCGCAGTGCAGAGCAAGAGCCAGTCCACCAGGAGGAGGGGGAGAGGTCAGCGGGCAGCCCAGGGCCCAGCGCAGCCCTCAGGGCTCCCTGGGCTTGGAGAAATCCCAGCTATTCTGAGAATCCGTGAGATAGATCATCCATTTCCCCTTCTGAGCTGCAAGGGACACTCTGGATTAGTTTCCTCGTGTGTTCATGTTCCCAGGGAAGGTGACAGATTCCGGGGTTCCCGGTGCAGAGAGCCTCACTCTAAGTATGGAAAGGGTCTGGAGACGGAGAAGCTTCCAGCACGCACCCCCAGCCAATCCTGAGACCTCGGCCCCCACCTCCCCAGCCCCCCTCTCCACCTACTTCCCATTAGGCCCACCCAGGCCTTGTTCAAGGCCACCACTACGTCAGTCCAACACAGCATCGTTGTCCAGGCTCTGAGCACCCAGAGCCCAGAGCAGACAGCCCAGGCACCCCCAGCCCCAGTCTCTGACCCACAGGCAGTGGTGCGTGGGGGCAATGCTGAGAGGGGCAGGGCTCTGAGGGGGGTCTGACCCACCCATCCTAAGCAGGCAGGCAGGAGAAGGCACCCCAGCCAGCAGTGAAAGGTGCGAACTTGGAGCTGGAGTGAGGCCTAGCGGGGCCCCAGCCCATCATCAAAGGTCTGAGGGCCCCAGGGCAGGGCTTGATGTGGATCTTATCAGACACGGGGACATAGCAGGCAGGACTGGTCTGACCCCAAGTTGGCCCTTCCCACCAGGTAGACCCTCATCGGAGGCAGCATGGAGAAAAGGAGTAGAACTTGGAAGCCAGGGCAGGGCCCTGGACAAGGCTCTCTGAGGGCACACCCACCCACCCAGGGACCTCCCCACCAGGGAAAGGGTTCCTCTCTCACACCCCCCACTGCCAGTAGGAGAGGCAGGGACACAGCAGACACACAAGACTGATTCCAGGCTTCTCTCTTAGCCCCAGCCTGGGGGCGGATAGGCAGGTGTGTGCCTTGAGGGGCTGGCGTGGTGCCTGACAGACGAGATGCACCCCAAAACCTCATGATGTGAGGAGACCCCGAGGGCCTGCAAAGAGGGAAAGAGGACGGGCCTGGGTTCTGACCCCGGCTCCCCATGCCCGCCAGGGGTGGCTGTAGGCCTGTGTGTCCATCCATGCTCCCTGTCCCTCATCACGGACCGAGGGCAGGAGAGTCCAGAGCCCAAGAAGTGCTGGCCAACGTCCCTTTTACTATGCTAGAGCAGGAGCCTGCCATCACCTGGGGCAGGTTACTGAATGCCTCAGAGTCACACAGATGACACAGTCAGACAGAAGGGCCAGGAGGAGGGGGCTGGTAGTACCCCCAAGCATCTAGCCCCACCCAGGGGACTCCCAGGAGAGGGGAGGGGCACGCACGGGCGAAATGTGCCAGAAAGGGCAATGACAGCAGGTCCCTGGGCGGGCTGCAGGTATATTAATAGTTGCTGGGTCCCCAGCAGGCAGTGCCCATGTCTTCTGGACCCGTGTGGTCTGCAGGACGGCTGCACCGCGTCTATTGGGAGAGCAGGCCTCCGAGTTCCTGCTGAACCACTCAACAGCTTAAAATACAACCAGCCCCTCTCCCGGCCGGCCAGCTGCTGGGGGAGGGCTGAAATCCTACCCTCTCCCCCAACCCGGGCACCAGACCAGGACCCAGGAGGAGACAGTGGGCCGTCGGAGCCCCGACTGGCTGCTGGGAAAGGAAGCGGGGTGGCGGGGACAGGGGCCACCCCGCCCAGCGGCCGCCGCTGCAGCTGCCACCACCACTGCCACCGCCGCGGCCGCACCCAGCCTGCAAGGAGCAGCGGCGCCCTCGCGAAGGTAAGCCCGCCCGGGGGGCAGCACGCAAGGCCCCTGGCCTGCTGGGGAGGGGGGTCGGTCCCAGCTCAGGGCCACTGTGGCTCGTTGGGGCCTCCCTTCTCATGTCCTGTCCCCAAACCTCCACCCCAGAGAGGTCTGCAAGGCTCTGGCAGAGCGGGGGGGGNGGGGGGGGGGGGGGAGGGTACCTATTTTGCAACTGTTTGTGCCTCTATAATTACTTCAAGAAAGGTAAATTTTTAAAGTTTAAAAGCCAGGTAGGAGAATATACATAAACACACACATATATATACACACACACACACACACATATGTATGCCAGGGGAAAAAAGCCAGACACACAGGGGTCATCTGTTCCTGTGAAATGTCCAGAACAGGTAAACGGAAGCAGACACATGACAGAACAGTGGCTGCCAGGGACCAGGGAGGGGAAGGGGGGCGCCAGCTAACGGGGACCTGTCTCCTTCTGCGGTGACGAGAAAGCTGTGGAATGAGATGGAGGCTGCCCGACACTGCATGTACGGAAGGCTGCCGAACCACTTACATTTTAATGGTTAACTGCATGTTATGTGAAATTCACCTCAACAAAGTAGTTTGTTTTTTTTTGGGGGGGGGAGGGGTTGGCGTACAAACCAGTTCTAATTACCCGGAAAAAGAAAAGAGGCAAGGAGCAGCAAAGGCTCCCCACTACCCTGCCCCACGCAGACTGAGGGCCTAAATGTGGGGAACCCCATCATGCGCTTCCAGTCCTCAGTCCCTGAGTTCCCCCCACTGCACCCCCACCTCTGCTCTGTGCCAAGCATGCGCTCACCCTCATGCTTGTCACATACACACCCCTGTGCCCGCGCCTGAAGCCAGCCTGGGTGGGGGCCCAGGACTGGGGTGAGGTGACCCAGGCAGCTGCTGAGCAGAGATCCTGAGCACAGAAGAGAAGGCAGCAGGCTCAGGACGCCCCCGCCAAGGGAGAAGGCAGGTGAGGGACAAGGAGGAGTGGGTGGCAGAAGTTCCTGAAGGGGGCGGGGGCATCTCCTCCTGTCCCCACGGAGGGAAGGGGCTGGGGGGACACGGAGCAGGGTGAGAGCCTGAAGATGAATGAAACAAAGCCCATCAGGCTGACCTGAAGTCTGGGCACTGGGTAGGCAAGGGGTGTGGCCCCAAAGCCTCGGGCACAATGACCAGACAGAGGACAAGGACAGGGCAGGAGTCTGGCCTGGAGCACAGGAGAGGCTCAGCAATGGCCGTCACCCAGCCCGGGAGGAATTCTCGCTCAGAGGCCCCAGGTTCTGGGCTCCAGCCAACAGCGACTTGTGGGAGCACAAGGTCAGGGCTGGTGGGAAGGGAGGATCGAGCAAGGGGCAGGGTGCTGCCCACCCTGCAGGAGGGGTGGGGACGGGGGGAGGCTGCAGACTTGCCCCACCCAAGGGGAGTACCCAGAGACACTGCCAGGCAGTGGGGCCCACCATTTTCCCCACCTTCGTGGAAATGGGCAGATGCCGCTGATCAGGCTGCCATTGTAGAAGGAGGGGCACCCACTCCCTGAGCACCTGTTTCAAGCTAGCTGGAGGGCCAGAGCCTCAGGGAGGCAAGGCTCCCGGGGTGATCCCCACGTGGCAGATGAGGAAACCTGGCTCAAGAGCAGGACAGGCACGGGGCCTTTGCACATGCAGCTCTCAGTACCGGCTCCACTCTCCCCCAGACCCCACCAGGCTCTCCGGCGCCGCCTCAGCAAGATCCCTCCCGACCATCAACTTAAAATAGCAACGCAGACATTTACCATCTGCCTCCCACTGGATGGTCAGCTCCAGGGGGCGGGGACTGCCCTGCCCTCAGCCCTTCCCTGGCACCTAGAACACAGCCTGGGGAGAGCTGTGCTCCGGAAACACCTGTGCAAGGCCCCCGCCCAAGGTCACGGAGGTGGGGCTCAAAGCCCCTTCCCCACCAGCCTCTGAGCCAAGGCCTTTCCCTCACCCCTCTGTCACCACACCAGACACCAGAGCAGAGGAGTGCACCCCAGAGCAGGAGATGCTGCAGGGAGCTTTCCCTAGCCTCATTCCAAGGAAGCCTCTGTGAGGCCTGCAGGCCACCGCCCAGCTCCCGCGACCCTGCGGGGCCCAGCATTCTGGTGGCCAGAATGCTCCCAGGCTCTGGAGCACCACTGACTGTAGGAAAGGGTCAGCAATGAGCCTGCTCTGGCTCCAAGGGAACCCTCTATTTTTCTTCACCAGCACCCCCAACATAGAAGGGGCTCCACGCTGACAGGCCCCACACACCCTGCCTGCAGGCAGCACCGCAGGCCCAGCAGCCCCTCACAAGGAGGCTCTGAGGTGAAGAAGACTCACCTACTTTCGGGCTGTGTGGCGCTGGGCAAGTTACCCAACCTCTCTGAGCCTCCATTTTCTCAGCTACCAAATGGGCTGGCCTCACCTGCTTTCTCACAGGGTTACTCTAAGACTTACAAGCAATAACCACCACCATTCTAGTTTGTATGTGCTGGGGGGCAGGGGGTGGGCAGAAACAGAGAACAGTGGCAAACTTTATACCAAGAGATGAGGGGAAAACAGAGAATGAGGGGTCAGGAGTGGGGAGGACAGCCATTTCAGACAGGGTGGTCAGGGAAGGCCTCCCTGAGGAAGCACACAAACATGTCCAGTCTAGAATAACTCTCAAAAAAGTAAATGTTATCAGAACGATACACCCAAAATACAAGTGGCAGACACACAGGGTGCCAGGCCTCTTCTCTCCAAAACCTGACGATGACCCCGAAGGGGCCCAACCACACCAAGGTCAGAGAGGTGATGCGAGGAGCTGGCGACATTGAGCCCGAACCCTAACAATAGCAAGACACGTGCGGATGGCGGAGGCGGGGCGGCGGCGAGCGTCCTGCTCATCACCAGTGCTCAGGAGACAGTGGCCGCGGAGGCTGCCGCGCTCTCCACTGCCCCCTTGCGGCCGCGGCCGGAAGGGTGAGCACAGCAGCCGGAGCTCCAGGTGAACGCCCCGGGTACCTACGCCCAGGGCAGGATGAGATCAGGAGAATGTGCACTCACTGTTCTCCCACTCACCAGCCAGGCGGCCCCGGGGAGCCACTACCTCACGCTCATTCCTTCGTTCACATATCCTTTCCTGCCTCCCCACTTCCCGCGGGCACTGCCATGACCAAAACCGAATCCCTGCCTTCACAGCAGCTGCATGCGTTCTGGCGGGGGCAGGGGACAGGGAGACAGATGATCAATAGTGGCATGTTTTAAACCAAAAGTTGTAGAGGAAAACAGAGAAAGGAGGCGGGGTGGGGGAGTCGGGAGCGGGGAAGCCGGCCAGTGGAAGTGAGGGGACACACCACGCACACATCCACACAGAAAAGCGCTCCAGACAGAGGGAAGAGCAAGTGCAAAGGCCGAGACTGTACCAGCATGTTTAACTCATTGCGGACCGAGGGGTTTGTGCAGAAACTAACGCCTGTGGCTGGTGACGTGTTATGTGATACTCATCTGTCTCCGATCAATAACAGGCAACAAAAGCCAGTATAATGCATCAAGCAGCTGACCCGGTGTGGCCGGAGCAGAGTGTGGAGGGGGGAGAGCGGGAAGGCACAAATAGGGAGTGAGGGGCCTGATCACAACAGGGGAGGGAAGGTGCAGGCAGTGTGGGCCACAGGAGGGACTCTGGCTATTACTGAGGGAGGTGGGAGCCATAGAGGGTTTATGAGCAGGGGAGGGGTGTGACCTGATTCAGTTGTTTAGAGGCACCCCCTGCAAAGTGGGAGACCAGGGCAGAGGCACCGATGGGAGCAGGAGCAGGGAGGTGACCATGGAGGGAATAAGAAGTGGACAGGCCACGGATGGAAGTGACCAGATGTGCTGAGGGTCTGGATGTGGGGGTGAGAGGGGAGGGACTCTGAGGTTCTGACCTGGGCCTCAGAAGAGAGAAGCACCAAGCAGGAGGGCGGCAGGAAGGGGAGGCACCACCTAAGCCCGGGCTGGAAGAGTCTGCAACTGCTGCTTTACCCGTGGGAGCTGCCACACACGGCGCGGCACACGGCCCAGGCACCAATGCCCAGGAGGGCTCCCGAGCCAGAAGCCAGACCCCACTCGAGCTTCTGTTTCCCCATTTTCATAAACACAGCCGGGCCCAGTGTTCCTCTGGCCCCTCCCGGATAGAAACAAGACCCAGGGGCCCAGGCCTGAGAGTCAGCGTGGACTCCAGGTCACCCTCATCACCGCCCGGTTCCATGTGTCCTACAGGGGAACCCTCCCAACAGGAGTGGGTGAGAACTGCAGCCGCTACCCAGACACCTCTCCTCACCACCCTTCACAGTCCCCAGGGCGGCTGAGGGAGCAGGCGCCATTAACTCCATCTCACAGATGAGGAAGCTGAGTTCCAAGGGGCACTCCCAGCTCATGCAGCAGTGAACTGACCCGACTGCCCACCACACAGACTTCTGGAGCTGTGCCCCTAGCAGGCACATGCCCTGGGGAGACCCCCAGGCAGCAGTGGCACAGGCCCCCTGTCTAAAGCAGGCTCTTGGGGACCCCACAGGGGCTGCCTGCCAGAGAAGGGCCCTTCAACCAGGCCACCTTGTGCTGGGCAGCCTGGCACAGCCCAGCCGGTGCCAGTGCCTGCACCGCGCAGGACTGTCGGGGTTGGGGGGGGGGGCTCCCGAGGCTGGGGTACAAGAGGCCTGTGGTGGGTGCAAGCCCTGCTCAATGCAGCCTAGACTCCAGATAAAGGGGCAGAGGGCCCCATGGGTCCCTCAGCCACTGACCTGGGCTCTCCTGGAACCCACAGGCCCCACAGGGGGCACAAGGGCAGCCACACTCAAAGGATGGATGGAGGCCTGGCCCTGAGCAGCATGGGCCGGACCGGCGCACCCCATTCACTAATGCAGAGTCTTGAACACGTTCACCTAGACTCGGCAGCTCAGCACTTTCAGCTCCCTCTCCCTTCCACTTTCCAGAAATATCAAAGTCACACTACTCATGCCAGGGCAGCTGAGAAGACCTGGGCTCAGCTGCCAGGAAGCCAGCACAGGCTGCACCTGCTGGGCCAGAAATACCTCCCTCCCCAGGGGCTTCAGCTCTTGACCCCGTTTCTCCGAGGTGCCTGGGGGCACTGCACAGCCTCCCTGGAGTGCTGCAGTGGGGACGCGGGGAATGTCACCCAGGGTAGGAAGGTCAGAGAGAGACTGACCACCCACACCCAGGGCCTCAAGCGGCCAGCTCCTGCCTCCCACCCCTGCTGGCAGGACGATTAACAGCAGGGTCTGAATGCCAATGTCCCTGGGCTCTGGGATCCAAGGCCAGGAGAAGCTGGAGGAGCCCCCCATAGACCAGTAGTAGCCAGCCTTGCAGGACATTCTCTGGGTGCCCAGGTGCCCCAGCTGGTTGCTATGACCACAGAAGGCCCAAGATGAAGGAGCTGGACCAACACAGCGAGATTCTGGGTCTGGGGCCCAAGAGGGCCACCACGCTCTTTGACTAGCAGCCCACTGGTGCCCACGGCTCAGACGCCTCCCTGGGCAGTTACAGGCCTTTGGGGCCTCCAGAGGGCGCTATCCTGGACAGACCTGCTCTGTGAGGGCCCGTTTGATTGGCAGTGCCGCCTCTAGCACGGTCTATCAGACGTCTGCTTACCTTGTGCCAAGATCTTTACCTGCACAATCACCTGGGCCTGTACGCTGAAGACTGTAACCCCAGCTAAGCAGCCCAGAAAACCAGAGCTGGGAAAAGGGGCGCTCTTGCCTAAGGCACAGAACCAGGTCAGAGTCAGCCAACTTGGTCCCAAAGAATCCCACTGCCCACCCTCACAAAAAAAAAGAAGAAAAAAACCACCTGCATTCTGGAGAACAGGGCTAAATGATAAAGAAAGAAAGGGGGAACAAAGCCTGGACCTGATTATCTGGAAGGCACCCCGCTCCTTGCTAACGTTCAGTTCCAGAGGTCTGGATTCTGCACAAGTCACCTCCCCAGGGAGTGTCCTTGGGAGGCTGGCCTGCTCGACTCTGGGCCCCTGCTGAGCCAGGCCACACCAAGGGCAAAGGGCCTGTCACCCCAGCACCAGCCAGAGGGGCGCAGGCAGGGTCAGCAGCTGTTCTGCAGTTTTCTGCCACAGACTAAAGCCACCAATGAGCTTGGAAAACCACTGCCATGGGGGTGGGGCAGTGCTGCAGAGGCCACAGTCAGACCAGCCTGCGTCCCTGCCTGCGTCCTGACACGGGAACGCTCGTAAGAGGACCTAACAGAGAGCATCCCCATGGCAGATGTGGCGAAGGGCCCGGCCCAGTGGCCCTGAACCCTGCCCACCTATGAAGCCCTGACCTGGACAATGCAGATGAGAAAATAGGGACCTCTGCTTCAAAAGTTCCCAGTGACAGATGCAGGCAGCCAACTCACCCTGGGCTGCTGTCCTCAACAGGCTCCTGCCCTTTGGACGATGCCCCAAACCCTTATCACGACAGACAGCCTGCCTGATATGCCCTCGAAACTCTCAGCCAACCCCCCCAGTCGCTCCCTACCCAGTCTCTGCCCCCTCCCTCAGCTGTCAAGCAGGGTGCCAGCACCCAGCCTCCACCACCAGCTCGAGCTGGCCTTGTCACCCCACTTTACGGACAAGGCAGCAGAGGCTCAGGAGTTACAGGCTCCAGGGGCAGGGCCCCACCTGTTTTTGCTCCTTAGAACTCAATACTCTTCCTCCAGAACTGTCCCCGGCCCCAAGACCCCAGGAGGACGGCCCAGATCTGCAACCCTGCACACCCTGGCCAGGTCAAGGTTGGTGATCACATCTGGTCTCTCTGCACCTCTGGCAGGAAGGCGCTGTCGGGTCAGGGAGCTGGAAGGAGGAGACGCTGAGCCCTGTGGACACAGGCTGACAACACGCTGACCAGCAGAGGGCGCTCGTCCAGGCTGACTCCCGACCTGCGCCCAGCACGCCCAGCCCAGGTGCAGCAGGCAGGTCAGTTTTGCGCGACAACCCAGTCTGAGACCCACGTGGCTGGCCTTAATGCCCACAGCAGCAGCAACAGCTAACACCTCCTATATACTCACAACGTGCAGGCGGGGAGGCAGGTCCTGACACAAATGATCTCCTTTACTATTATTCCCCTCTTCCAGGTGAGGACACAGACTTACTCCACTGTATAAGCAGTGACGAACAGTAACCAAATACCTACTACATGCCAGGCACTGTTAGGGACTCTGGGGGTTCAGCCCTGGAAGGAGAGACAGGAATCTTTGCCAATATGGAACTGACATTTTAGCAGGGAACACAGACCATAGAATAGCTACAGGGACTTCCCTGGCTTCCAGAGGTTTAGACTCCATGCATCCACTGTAGGAGACATGGGTTTGATCCCTGGTAAGGGAACTAAGATCCTACATGCTGCGCAGCGCATCAAAAAGTAAATAAAATGGGACAAGGAGTGGCAGGTGAAGGGAGCCGGCAGTTTCCATAGTGGTCAAGAAAGATCTCCCTGGAAGGATGTTGAGCCAAGGCCTGAAGGTGGTTAAGGAAAGGGCGGTTGAGAATGGAGGAGAGCCTCCACGCAGAGAAACGTGCTGTGCAAAGGCCCGAGGGGCCGCCTGCTCGGTGTAATTAAGCAAAGAGCCAAGGCTCCTGTGGCTGGGGACCGGGGTGGTGGGGGGAGGAAAGGAGGTGAGGACGGGAGGTGATGGGTCATGCACGGTCTCCCGGGCCCAGTGAGGACTGTGGCTTCTACTCTAACTGAAGTGGGAGCCATAGGGGGTTCTGGGCAGTGGAAGGATGTGACCTGACAGGTTCTTAACAGATCCCTCTGGACTATATATGGGGGAATAAGGATGGAACCCGAAGACCAATAGGAAGTTATCAAGATAAAGGATGGCTTAAACCAAGGGGCCAGCAAACTATGGCCCAGAGGTTAATTCTGGCACACCACCTATTTTTGTACAAGCTAAGATGATTTCTACACTTTTAAGTGGTTAAGAAAAAAATCAGAAGCCTATTTCATGGCACATGGGAATTCCATGAAATTCAAATTTCAGTATCCACAAGGCTCAGCGGGACGCAGCCACGCTCACTGGCTGGCGGCTCGTCCAGGGCTGCTTCTGTGACAGCCGCAGGGCTGAGAAGCCATCAAGAGGCTGTATGGCCAGAAAAGCCTAGAACATTTACCATCTGGCCCTTCCCAGGTAGAGCCTGCCAATCCCTGGCCTGGACCTCATGATGGCAGCAGGGCTCATAAGCAGCAGTTATATTCCACAGGTATTCCCAAGGCAGAGATACAGGATTTGCTGGTTCGGGGCATTGGGAGTCAAGCAAAACATGCAGGCTGAGGTTGGGGTGGCTGGGGCGGGAATCCAGGCTCAGTTTTGGACATGTTAAATCTGAAATGCTAACTGAACACTCCAGAGAGATCCAGCTCACTGAGAAACACCTCTCCTCCTTCCTGTAATCACACAGAAGCATCTGTGAGCAAACTGGGTGCTCTATGAACACTCTCTGGTCATGTATGGGGATTCCCAGGTGGCTCAGGAGTAAAGAACCCGCCTGCCAATGCAGGAGTCCCAGGAGACATGGGTTCAATCACTGAGTCGGGAAGATCCCCTGGAGGAGGAAATGGCAACCCACTCCAGTACTCTTGCCTGGAGAATCCCATGGACATAGGAGACTTGCAGGCTACAGTTCATGGGGTCGCAAAAGAGTCAGACTATGACTAAATGAGCATGCACACGTATCCCTAATATAATTTTGCTCATTGTATGTAGCCCCCAACACATTTTAAGTTGACAATACTTTTTCATCTGAGCTTGAACAGTTGCAAAAAGATGTCATTTCCGGCCTACTGCAGATATTGCAAATTCTATATAAAATTTATGGGGCTCTGTTAAATCTCACCAGGGTCTAAATACCTAAGTAGCTTCCTATCTACCATCATTCCACTTAAAAAAAAAAAAAAAGGCTATAAACAAGCTCCTTTATATTTGCTCCTTTTTTGCCTTGAAGTTGAATTCTGTTCGCTACCCTCCTGCATTGAATTTTATTCAAATACAGGATCGTGATTGAAGGTCTGTGAGGTGGTTTTTTTGGCTGTGCTGGGTCTTCGTTGTGACTCACCAGTTATCTCCAGCTGCAGAGCACAGTGGCTACGCTTCGTGGTGGTTCTCAGACTACTCACAGCAGCGGCTTCTCGTGTTGCGGAGCACAGGCTCTAGAGCGCTTCAGTAGTTGCGGCACACAGGCTTCCTTGCCCCCAAGGCATGTGGGATATTCCCAGACCAGCGATCGAACCTGTGTCCCCTGCATGGCAGGCTGATTCTTAACCTCTGGACCACCAGGGAAGTCCCTGATTGAAGGTTATTACTGGGCATCATATCTACTGCTCAAATTGAAATTAAATTTTTTAAAAACATTTTCATGACCTAAGGCTCTAAGTGTAAGGAGAAAATCCTTCAGGATAAGTTATCATTACAGTATCAGCTAAACATAAACTATGAATTGTCAACAAGTCACTAAATATTAACCATAAACAGGAGGTTATCAGCACTGTGTCTCTAGATGGCATGGATGTACCATTTTCCCAATCAGTTCATGTAGCCAAGGTGACTATTTCTTATTGCTAGAATGAGAGAGAGCTTTTATTCTGACATTTCTTTATTCAAGTAAACACTAAGAAGCCATATTCACATAAATAAGCAGATGAGTAAAGAGAGGGTCCTGTTAAAGCAAAAAGTCCCCAATTCTGTGAACTCCTTCTGAGTTACTGGCCCAAAGTCTCACGGTGACCTAGTCTCAGAAATATCTGTAAGGTCTTCCAGCTACCATTAGGCACCACTCCACTGTTTTTCTGAAAGCAGTGACTCGTGACCTGGTCCCAGGGCCTGGCGTTGCTCACTTGCTCAGCCCCACGCAGGTCCCCAAGAACACGCAGTACGGCAGGTACTGCCCAGTCAGGGTGTGAGAGAGTCCGTATCCCAGTCCAGCCTCAGCCCCAGGGGCTGCCCAGCTCCCAGGCAATACGTGGCACAGAAGAGCTCCGAGCAAGCCCATCAAACCTTCCCGTACGCGAGCCAGAGGGCTCTGCCCCAGGGTGGCTGCGGCCACCTGCTCCCCAGCGATCCTGCTCCCTGGGCTCCTTGCAGACGCCTGGCCCAGACCAGAGAGGCCACAGAGCCCTGGATGCTGTGTCCAATGCCCAGGCAGAGCTCGGAAGGGGTTCCTACACAGACACCTGCAAAGGGCTCAACTACATACGGAGGGTTATCTCAAACCCCCAAGAACACCTTCTGCTGGCTGAGAAGTTCCTGTTCATCTGCTCAGACAACACTGACTGAGCCCCTCGCTGCACCAGGCCTGTGCAGGGTGCTCGGCTCGATGATGAACAGAAAGACTTGTGTGCAGCACGCCAGGCACTGGCCCAGATGCTGGGATACCATGGCCAAGCGTCCCCTCCCCACCCCAGCCCACTGGGCTCAAGGGGAACATGGGCAAAGACTCTATTACGTAACATGAGGTCAGGATGAACCAGCTGCTGGGAAGGAAACAGCTGGGCAGGGAGCCCAGAGGGCCACAGGAGGTGGTCAGGAAAGGCTTCTCTGAAGATGTGCAGCTTGAGCCAAAGTGATTGCCAGCATGAGGCTCCCGGAGGAAACTGCAAAGGCCCTGGGGCAGCACACAAGTTGGCAGGGCTCAGGAACATCCGAAGACTGGATGCAGCACAGTATACTCAAAGGCACGCAGCTGCGGAGCAGGCCGAGTGGAGGCCGAGACGAGGCCTCCAGGTGTGAGTCCAGGGATGGGAAGCTGCTGGAGCGCTGTAACCTGGTTTGGTTTGAGAAGGAACCTCTTGTTGCTCGGACAAGCGGGGAAGCGCTGACAGCGACAAGAGCATGAAGGTGGCAAGCACCGAGAAAGACGCCCTAATTCCTGGGTCCTGAAGTGTCACTGATTCAAAACAAGCTGCCAAGTCTTTTTTTTTTTTGAGGGGGGACACATATGACAACATTAGATAAATGGGTGGACAGATACAAATCGTAAGATGCATCCCAACTTCAGGAACATGAAAATGCTGAGGGGGAAAGATGTACATCCTAGCACAAAGAGAGGAGAGTAATTAACAAGTGAAAGAAGACTCGGATGGAGGAGGGCAGGGTTTCTGGAATATTGAACAGGCCCAGCCATGTCCATAAAGGGAAAGGTGGTTTAAGAGAAAATACTCAGCTACAGCTATTGCAAAAGGGGTGCTGGAAGCCGCCCTCGGTTGTCTGCCCCCTGTCCGGTGTTACCTGTGAGCAACTTCACAGGTCAAGGCCCTCAGAGCCTCCCCCAACCCCACAGAGCTTGGCCAGCTCGGCTCCAGCAGAGAGTGTGAAATGAGACCCAGGGTCTTCACACAGACACCCCTCTCCACGCTCTCCTCGGATAGTGCAGGTTCCCAGGCCCAGCTGGAGAGACAGGAAATGCTGCCATCCACCAAGGCCCCTGGGGAGCCAGGATGTGGTGCTCAGAATGTGTATAGTTCCGGGGCCCACTTCTCAGATGGCGCCTGGAGGAGCCTGGCAGGAAACATTACTGGGGCCTGCCGGTCATGGTTAGCACTTCCTGTAGAATTCCCATGTCATCCTTACATGAACACTCAGGGTTCAAGCAACTTGGGAGTCAAAAACAGGGGGGCGGAAATGGCCAAGTTCCAAAGTACCAAGAGAAGCAGGCGCCCACGCTAACGCACCAGAGCTACAAGTGCTCTCAGTTAAAGCCACCAGTTCCAGGGAACCGCCAGGCACTCCGCAAGCTGGAGGGTCCTCCTGATCGCTGGGTGTGGGACAGTTTGGGGGGAGGTGTGGACGATGCAGCTAACTGCCTGAGCCCACCCAGCCTGTTCTCGTGGGTCTCTAACAGGCAGGCACACAATCAGTTGCTCCACAGTGGGGGTGACAGAGGACAGCCTCACACAAACAGCTCTCTGAAGGCGTTAAGTGCCACTTCAAGCAAAACAGAAGAGGTGAGAAGGTGACAAGTGTGGCCTGGGTGGGTCAGAGGGAGCCTTTCGGAGGAAGTGACATTCAAGCTGAGACCTGAATGACAGGATCTACGGATGGGACGAGCAGAGCTACATCTCCGGAATCTGGGCCAGCACTGGGATTTCCCGGCTCAACCCCAGCCTGTCCTCTGTGGATCCCACCTCCAGCCAGGAGACTGCAGGAGATCTGATTCTCTGGAGTGGACTCAGCAACACACTGTTTCAGGCTATACGTATCTTCCCAAGAATTCTGCTGTTACCCTCACCACCACCCCACCAGAGACATGCTCTGCCAACTGCACCTCCTGAGAAGCATCAATTCGGCAACTCCCCCAACCCACCCCTCTTCTTCTAGATTAGCTTCTTGAGGTGTCCTGGGAGACAGCTGCTCCCAACGAGAAGACCAGAAGCTACAGCTCTTGGACCCCCTCTAGTTCAACCTGCTTCCAGTTGCTCTATGAAGTTCCAAATGCTAGGGTTAAACTATGTGTGTGTGCTCAGTCTGACTCTTCAATCCCATGGACTGTAGCGCACCAGGTTCCTCAGTCCATGAGATTCTCCAGACAAGAATACCAGAGGGGGTTGCCATTTCCTCCTCCAGGAGATGTTCCCGATGCAGGAATCAAACCTGCGTCTCCCATGTGATTGGCAAGCAGATTGTTTACCACTGCCCTCCCCACCAGCTTGAAAGACCCAGTCTCACCCAAAGGACAGGCACCTTCCCTCAGGCCCCTCACACAATGGGCACGGTCCTCAGCCATTGCTCCCTGGTCCTTTTAAAGAGGAAAACAAGAATTCAGAAGACCCCGAGACTGCACAAACTCTGCAGTCTCCTGGGCTGCCTGAATGGCCCATGAGCTCTGCTTACATAAGAGACTGGTTAGAGCAGGGACAGGGGCAAGGCTGTGCCAGCCTGCCAGTCACCACAAGCTACTGAGAGGCCCTTTATCCCCCAGAGGACTGAGAGGCTCCTGGCCCGTCTCTAACCACTGGACTGGGAGTGGGAGCGGGGAGTGCCCAACACCACCCACAACACAGTTGTCAGTAATAAGGAACCACTACTCTCACACATTTATATAACACACACCACAGTGGGAGCGCCCTCCAAGGACTCAATAAACTGCTCTCTGAAAGTTAAGCTTTTGGGTAATATCAACAGGAAAAAGGACCTCCATCACCAGTGAGTCCACAGATGTCGTTGCAAAGCCTGGCCTGATCAGCCTTACCACTCATCACACAACCACTCAGCCTGGCTTCCAGACCTCTGCCCAAGCTGAGCTCCTCCCTTCCCAGAAGGCTTTGGCTTAGATGAAGAGACCCTGAAGGTAGAGGATGAAGGTTCCTCCAGTCCAGTATTCCTGGCACACAATAGGTACAAAGAAGAAAAAAAACTGTCAGAAGGAATGCACTAGTAAATAGGCAATGGAGGACTTCTCTGGTGGTCAGTGGTTAAGGATCCACTTTCCGATGCCGAGGACCTAGGTTCAGAAAATAAGATACCACATGGCTCGGGGCAACCAGCCCACTCACTGCATCTAGAGAGCCCAGGTGCCCCAACAAAGACCCAGGACAGCCAAGGGCAAAAAAAAAATGGAGACAGGCTGGAGAACAGGTGATCGGAGCCCACCACGGAGAAGTGTCCAGACCAGCAGGAGCTGCTAGCAACCTGTGCCCCTCCCCTCACGGAGCTCACTCTGTCCAGGGAGGAGGACCATCAAGTTCCCAAATGAAAACACAACAGCCCAGGGAGGGCCAGAGGAGAGGAACAGGGTGCAGCAGCCCTTCTCCAGCAGGACAGTCAAGGAAGGCCTCTATGATGACAATGAAGCTAAGCTCTCAACGAGAAGAAAGCAGGCACGGGAAAAACAGACGGAAGAGAATTTCTGGCCAAGGGAAGGGCTTATGTGCAAGGCAGGAATGTGGCGGTGGATGTTCGAGATGAAACCAGCCCAGCAATGAGTGAAGGCAGTAGGGGGCAGAGGAGGACAAGAAGCTCTGAGGGGGGTGTTTCGGGTGCTGCGATCCTCCCCTCCCCAGAGGCCCTCTGGCTGCTGCTGGGTGAGGAACATGGCCAGGAGGGCCAAGAACAGACACAGTGGTGCGCCTGTAAGGAAGGAGGTTGTGACAGGCATTAGAGTACCAGGCCCACTCTGGACACCTGTTTCCTGGAATGGTTCTTTCTCACGATGTTAGAAAGTGGGTTCTGACTGTGCTGTGACTTCACTGACAGTCCTCCCACAGAGAAGGACAGAACAGCTCATTCCAAAATGTGGCTTCAGGGTGTGTGACATCAGAAACATCATGGGCTTCTGGGCTTCTTCCTCCGTATCTGGACATACTGTTTGGCACAACTCCATCTCCAGGAGCCTGCTGGGTCTTGTTCATTAACACATCTGGAGATGTTCTAGAGAGAACACATGTAGAAAGTATTCCAGGTGGCCTCACTGATACAGCTCTGTCCTTGACCACCTAATGATCTGGACCTTGACCCTGGACCAGACAATGTGCTGGCACTTCAGATGGACCAGGGGCTCCCTGAGACAGGTGTCTTTTTAGGGGGGGGGGGGAATTATTTATTTAGCCATTCTGGGTCTTAATTGCAGTACATGGGATTGATGATCTTTGGTTACAGAAGGTAGGATCTAGTTCCGGACCAGAGATGGAACCTGGGCCCCCTGAATTGGAAGCATGGAGACTTACCCACTGGACCACCAGGGAAGTCCCAAGACAGCTGTCTTTATCCTGGCTTCACAGATGAGACAACTGAAATGTCCCAAGACAGTTAAGTAACTGTCCTGAGGGTAGAGCTGGTGGCCTGCCTTTAAAGGGCATGGCCATTCAGCCACACTTTATTCCTTCCACAGTGCGTGGTCGCTTGGGCCCACCCACAGCAGAGCCCACTTTGGGTCTAGTAGAATCCAGGCCCTGCCATTCACCAGCTGTGAATTCACGCTGCTTCCCTACTATGGGCCCCAGTTTCCCCATCTCTCAAATAAGGATAAGAGTACCAAGTTCACAGGTTCATTTTGAGGGGTAAATGAGTTGATAAATAAAAAGCACTTAGAGTGCGCACTGTATCAGTAGTGACTTTCATCACAATGCTCTGGCTGTGGCCAGGTATTAAAACATTCTCAGCTGCCACTGTCAATATCAGCAGGAGGGTGTTAAGATCTAGCTTGAACTTGACCAACCAGCCCAAGGTCTCCGGGCCCTTTTCATCCGGCCAAGCCTGTCAGTGAAGTACAGGGCTCCCCAACCAAACTCAACTGCATTAACAACGCTAACACACTCAGGGCTGTCAACTCCACCTTTCTCACTCCTCAGGAACCAGTTATTCAAGAAGCTCTGCTAGGTTCAGGGTTCCCCACCCCCACTTGAGCCCCTCACCAGTCTCTCCAACAGCTGTCCCAGCCTGCGCCCAGCCGCCCACCCACCGCCACCCCTACCACTTGGTTCTTCCCACCCACTTCCTCCCCTCAGCCCCGCCTCCCCTCCCTCTCGGGCCTCAGTATCACTGTGTGAAGATTGAAGTGAAGTCACTCAGTCGTGTCCGACTCTTTGCGACCCCATGGACTGTAGCCTACCGGGCTCCTCCATCTATGGGATTTTCCAGGCAAGAGTACTGGAGTGGGTTGCCATTTCCTTCTCCAGAGGATCTTCCTGACCCAGGGATCGAACCCGCGTCTCCCGCATTGCGGGCAGACTCTTATCTTCTGAGCCACAAGGGAAGCCCTTAGGGTCACGGTGTGGGTCAGCCCAACTAGTTAAATGTTAGCTGCTGTGCTGTACCCATCTAATGCTCACCAGAGCAGTAATTCCTTGAAGGGATAACCTGTGAGATAGGGCCCACTGTGCCCAGCGGTGTGCAGCTCATGAGTAACTTGGGATTGGGGAAGAGGGAGGGGCCTACCTGTAGCATCTGCCTCAGTCCATGGTGTAAATACAACCCCTGCCCACCCCCTCTGCCCCACCACAGCTGATTTCAAGCTATCAACCTGATGTCCCTGAAGGCAAAGTTGGGAAGATTGGAGCCAAAGTCAGCCACTGAGGGCACACCCCCGACCAGGATCCCCATTTTACAGATAAAAAAAGTGGCTCGAGAGGTTACAGAACCTATGGGCTCCATACTTTGTGCAGGGCAGTTATGGATTTGAACCTAACTCTGACCCAAAGCTTGGTAGGCTTTTCTGTCTTCCCAGGGAGGATACCCCCCCACCCAAAGGGGACCTGACTGTGTGGCTTGAGGGAAGCACCCCTTATTTGAGAGTTCTAGAACTCACTGAGGTCTGGGGGCAATGAGATTCTAAGAAGCAAGGGGGTGAGTGGCTGAAGTGTAGAGCTACAATTCTAAGGGCCAGAGAAAGGGGTTCACCAGGAGAATTGCCAATGTGAATCACCACCTGCTCAGAGCCTGCAGAGTATAGAAAAGCCTAAAAACCACCCCCAACCCCACAGGCTCCTGGTCTGACACACGCCAACACAAGAAAGGTCCTGAGAGCTCACCATGCTTTGAGGCTACCCCATCCCAATCTAATTCACCTCCGGAACTCCAAGGGGCAGCCCATCCAGTGTGAGGGCAGAGGGGCTGTCTGTTGGAGGACCACACAGGCTCACAGGGCCCCTCGCATCCTCCCTCCAGGGATGCTGGGTACTCAGCACAGCACAGCCACCAACCGAACTAGCATCAGCAGGGAATCGTTACAGGGACAGAAATTGCTTTCTGGTTCCATGACCTTGAGCAACTTAACTGACTTCTCTGAGCCTCAGGGTCCTTCCCTGTTAAGTAACACCGATGCCCACCTGATCAGGTGCTCACAGGCCTCAGTAACCACAGGTGGCTGTTACTACCAGCAATGCCAGCATCCCCAACATTACCGTGGCTCTGGCTCTTCTACAGACAGACCTAGGTCTGGATCCTGTCTCCACCACGATGTGACCTTGGACAAGCTCCTTCACCTTTCTGAGCCTCAGGTTCTTCATCCACAAAACGGAGGAAGAAGGAGTATCCAACTCTCAGGGTTTTGGCAAGGACACAAGAAATGTGACCTGCCCCTGGTATCCAGCAACAAAAAGTAGCCCAGGGGCTTCCCTGGTGGCTCAGTGGTAAAGAATCCATCTGCCAATGCAGGGGACACAAGTTTGATATCTGGTCTAGGAAGATTTCACACACATTGGAGCACCCATTGAGCCCGCATGCTGCAGCTATTGAAACACAGGCAGAGCCGTGGTCTGCCACAAGAGAAGCCACTGCAATGAGAAGCCCGTGCGCCGCAACTAGAGAAGTCTGTGAGCAGCAATGAAGACCCAGCACAGCCAAATAAAAAGGAAAAAAAAGTGACCCAGGAAAAAAAAAAAAAGTGACCCAGAAAGAGGGGGATCGTAACAGGGCTCCCACCCTGTCTGTAAATAAACAATCAATCCCAAATGCATTTTCTGAAGGGCTGCTGGATGCAGCACACAGCAGGGTGTGAGTGAAGAGATCAAGCAGGCCCCATCTCAGAACACAATGATGCTGCTGCTGCTGCTGCTATATCGCTTCAGTCATGTGCGACTCTGTGCGACCCCATAGACGGCAGCCCACAAGGCTCCTCTGTTCATGGGATTTTCCAGGCAACAGTACTGGAGTGGGTTGCCATTGCCTTTTCCATCAGAACACAATACCTTCCCGCAAACAGGCACCAAATTTAACGTGCAGAAGTCAGAAACCCGCATGTTAACACAGCGCTCAATGGCTACAAAAACCCAAATTATCCCTCACCTTCTACTCCAAAGGGACCCAAGGATTCAGAAGGAAAAAAGTACACAAGACAGCAGACACTTAAGATCCCACCTCCCAGGTTAAACAGATATTTATATTTTACTCTATTTACTACAACAGATTCCTTAAAAAAAAAAAAAAAAAAACATAGCTGAAGCCCTCCCTATGCCTTCTCCTCCCCTTCCATTCCTCCCCAAGCAATGGTTCCTCTTACTGTGTAATTCCCATACATTTCTAACCTCATATTACAATTTATCCTTTAATGAGCTATCTATCCACAAAAAAACACATATAAATCTCATTTGGTATGTTTTTTTAAAATTTACAAAACCTTTTGCTATTTGCTTTTTTCTACTCAACATGATGCCTGGAGATTTATTAAGACCAAATAAATCAAACTAAATTGCTTTTCATGTGAAGAAATCATGCACAACAGTCAAAATAAATGAACCAGTGCTGCGTGCAGCACCTCCTCTTTCATAAATACCCCTTATAATGTAGTTCCAGCAATTTCTTAATGTTATTACTGGCCTTTGCTGTCACAATTATTTTGCTCTGAGGAGCTCAGAGAGATTAAGTAATCTGCCCTAGGTTAGTTATTTAGTGAGTGGCAGAGCCAGGCCCGTCCAAGGCCCAAGCACCCTCTGACACCATTATACATGGGTCCACATTCTTCTTCACTTTCCCCTTTCTACCCAGTTCTCTGGCTCAAACAATTGCCTCTTCAGCAGAACTCTACTTCCCAAACTTTCACATACTTACTCCTGTGGAGAAGCTAAAGCAAGAATTATATTATTCACAAGATGAGCACCAACAAAGCTACCCTTTTGAGGGGAGGCGGGGAAGGGCAGAAGATTCTAAACGGGGACCTCAATGGGACCCTAAATGGAAGATCCTATTAGGGACCCCAGGAGAAAGAGGCTGCCTTGCCTCTGGGGCTCTAGCAATGGGAAATGAGCAGTGACCCAGATGCAAGGAAGCTGAGACAGACCCATCTTCCCAGGAATCAGCAGATTCCAAGGTAAGAGCTGAGCTGCCACTGGGATCATTACTTGGACCTCTCATCTGCAATGGCAAAACAAAATTTAAAAAAAAGAAAAAATTTCCTGCTTTGGATAAGCAGTTCCCTTGATGACCTTGCTCCGACCCCAAGACAATCCCAAGGCCCGCTCTGCCTTCCAAAGACTTGCTTGGGAGAAGACCCAAGAGTAACCCATTCTACCTGCCTCCTCTCAATGAGGCGACTGAAGAGTCGCATTTTCCTCTGGGACCACAGAAGAGAGAATGGCAGTGTCAGCAAACAGTTATCGAAACAGCAGCAAAAATCACTCCTCCAGCTGGAATCCTACCTGCCTCAAACATCAGATATCAACCCTCACTCACTTCACTGTGTCACTGAGTGAGTCCCGCACCTTTCTGAGCATCATCTCTATCTCTTGTAAATTACACTTCATAATCTCCAAGTCTCTCTTCCAGTCAAAAAGGTCTTTCTGGTGGGTGTTAATCACCCAGTACTTTAGGGGTTGCTTTGGGGGTGGGGGGGGAGGGGCAGGTGGAAGATGTGGAAGAACAGGCTTAGTCCCAAAGAGAAATACAGTCTTTCTCAAGGTGTTAAATGGGAAGGAAAGAATCTCTGCTATTTTTATTGATCTGCAACAAATACCTGTAATAGAGTTGATCAGCCTGATGTGCAAAATCGGCTGAGAGATAGTTTACTCCTGTACAGAGTAAAGCCTGGAGCTACCACCTCAGTGCTTACGTGGCAAATGTCAGCAGAGAATGATAACACAGAACATGGAAATATAACAACTTTATTTTTTTCCTCCAAGGTCACTTTGAACAGTGGGTTTGAAGCTTCTGCTTCCAGGAGGGACGGGATTTGAGTGTCCTCCCGATCAAGCCATAACCCTCAGGCTGTGACAAGCTTCCAGAACAAAAGTGTCCACCCCAAGGATCTTCAGGGGCCTACCTTATCTGCCTGCCAACTATCAAAACTAACTCCATTTTGTAAAAGGCCACATGTATCTCCCATCCTCCATCTTTCAAACTGAATGTGGCTTTTTCTCCAGGATTACAGATAGGCTTTGAAAGGTAAAACTGTATTAAAAGAACTGTATTAGAAGAATTTCATTCTACACTCATAAAGCTGAATGAGACATAAGAGATTACTAACTTCTACCTCCTCATTTCTGTGCCACGTCAAAAATCATTAAGGACTTCTGGGTTAAAGTTTTCAAAAGATTCTGGGTAAATTACCACAGAAAGTAATAATAGTAACAGTAGCAGTAGTAAAGTGAGTGGGCAGAAGCAGTGGTATTTCACTAGCAAACAAAAATCAGACTGTCTCCTTACACTTATATGAACCACCTAATATGATCAAATTCAAACAGACAGAAAGTAGAATGACAGTAGCCAGGGGCTGGGCAGAGGAGAGAAGGGGGTTAGTGTTTAATGGGTACAGAGTTTCTGTTATGCAAGATGAAAAGAACAGAGTTCTGGAGGTGGATATAGATGGCGGTTATAGTGGCACAACAATGTGAACATACTTAATGCCACTGAACTGTACCCTTAAAAATGATTAAGATGGTAAATTTTATGTGTATTTTAACACACTTTTTTAAACTTGGGAAGGGGAAAAAAAAGTCTCTCAACTGGCGAATTTTCATTTGGCGACAAGTATGGCAAGGTGGTTAGCAACTGACACTCTAGAGTCCTGAATTTCTGTCTGTCCTGCATTTACTACAAACTAACTGGGGACTTCTGAGCAAGTCATTTGACATCTCTGAGACTGTTTCTTCATTTACAAAAACAACAATAATAATAGTCTCCTACCTCACAGGACTGTGAGGCTAAGAAAACAAGGTAACAGACTCTCACTGGCACAAACGTAACACTCTCTAAATTATTATTATGAACTTTAATAATAAATTAGTTTATCATTTAATGCTACTTATAAGCCAGCAATAATTATTAATATTATATTATCAGCTAGGTTGATAAGTTCATTAGAACACTTCGTTTTAAGGGTAAAAGAGGCCCCAGTTAGGAGTCAGAAGCCCTGGACCTCAAAAGTGGCTGCGGGTGTGAGATTTCTCCTCGGTGACACGCAGGGCTTGACGGAGATTATCTCTTAGATTAACAGAAAGCAAAGATCAGCCAGCACTGCAGCTACACCTCCTTCACCACCTAAGCCGCTCGGGGGGCCGTCCCGGGCGAGGGAAGGGGTCCAAAGGTCATGCCAGAGAGGACTGACTGCAAAGCCCCTTTCTAAGCCCGAGGCGGAGGCATGGTGCAAGGTTTGTGCAAGACACCCTGAGAGTGAGAGCAAGGGTTCCACACCCTCGTTCCTCCCCTGCCAAAGTCTACAATTCATCCCGCAGGGGAAGCTGCGAGGAACCTGCAAGCTTCCCAGGTCCTGCAGAGACCCCAAGAAAAGGCACCCCCAAAACAGCCAGGGTTGCAGAATTATAAATACCTACCCCGCACCTGCGCACTGAGATTTACGAGTGGCCCTGGGCACAACGCGCGCTTACTGCGCCTGCGCCGTAAGCTCTCTTCTGGGGTCAGGACGTAAAACGGGGTCCGACTGTCTCACGAAAAAGAAAAATAGATTTGCGGCAGTCGCTCAATCCCCGTTTTCTCGTTTCTTACCTCATAGTGCTTCATGGCTCCCCCGCACGGCGGCTACTGCTTCTGCTGCTCCTGCTACCTGCGCGCGATACACCACAGAGTACCTCACGCGGTGACGACCGCCGCGCGAGACTAACCGCGGATCCGTATCCGCCCCGCCCCTCCCTGCCGCTCGCGCCCCTCCAGCCAATCAGCGCGCAAGGCGCCCACCTTCGTCCCCGCCCCGCAGAGCTGGTCGGTGCAGGAACTAGCAGCTCTCGCCATGGAGCTAGCCAATCAGCTTCCTGGACCCACCGAGAGGGACGAAGCACGGGCAGGAGGGAGGAGGACGGAAGAAAAAGAAGGAGCTTGGCTATCCACCAATCAAAGAGGGCCTCTGGTCGCGCGAGCCCGTTGCCCCGCCCCTTGGTGGCGTCTCTGTGGAAACCAAGGGAAGCGACGGTTATTGCAAGGCGCGAGGAGGGAGCTAGCAGTTGAGTGACAGGGAAGGCAACATCCACAAGCTCGACTGGGTGAATTCGGAGGTGGGCGGCCCCCAGGGAGTACCGGGGAGCTACGGGAGACGGCAAGGGGTTGGGGGCATGGGCTGGGGCACCTGGATGGAGAGGCTGCTCCGGCGAGGGAACCCGTATCTGTCACGAATGGGAGGAAAGTAAAGGGGAAAGAGGTGGGGAAAAGCTCTCAGGCACACACCCGCAACTTGTAACCTGAGCTCGCTCACTATTGTGGTTGTGTCTTCACTCCCCTTTCTAATGCACGCCCCCGCCTCACCTTGCTAGACCCCACAGGCAGGGAGCCCACTTTTGTCTCTACCTGTACTGCCCGGTGTGGTCACCGCTGGCCACATGTGGCTACTGAGTCCTTGAAATGTGGCTGGTCAAAATTGAGATGTGCTGTAAAAGTGAAACACAAAGGGATTTCAAAGACTTAGTATGAAAAGGAAGATGTAAAAAAGAACTTCATTAATCAACTTCTATGTTGATTAGTGCTATTATTATTGATATAATCAACAATAATATTATTGTTGATATTATCAACAATAATATTGATATTATCAACAATATTTTTGATGATATTCTCAACAATAATATTATTATTAGTTATGTAATGGTATGCTGAAATATTATTTTGGATATATTGGGTAAAAATACATTATTAAAATTAAATTCCTGTTTCTTTTTATTTCTTTGATATGCCTATTGGAACATTTAAAATCAGACACAGCTTGGATGTGGCTGGCCTGGCAGTTGTGTGTCTCACACTCTCTCTACTGGACAGTGCTGGTTTGGGGTCATGTCATGCTTTTGTTGCACTGATTGTTATGAGCAGGCGGGGGAGGTTGGTTGCCACTACACACACATACAGACTCAAACAGACACTTAAAACAAGACTTGGCACACCCCCTTACCTTATCTCCTTTCTCCTGGTTCCAGACCCCACCCTTGAGCCTTCTTCAACTGTTGAGCGCTTCAGAACTCAGAGGCCTGGCATCAGAGACATGGTGAGAAGTCCTCAAAGACAGATTGTTGGTTCACAGGAGAGCAGGGTGGGGAGAAGGTGAGTCAGTGCTCAGCACTTACTCATCCAGGTTAGGCTCTAGAAATTTCTGAAGCTACAATATTTGGGGACGCCTCTTTCAGAATAAAGGAAGCTAAGTCATTACCTTTTCCAGTACTTCCCTGGTGGTGCAGTGGTTAAGACACTTTGCTTCCACTGCAGGGGACCCAAGGTTCAATCCCTGGTTACTGAAAAAAGACCCCAAAGAAATTAATTACCTTTTTCCTCAGGCCTATCTGAGCAAAACAGATAGGCTGCGTGAGTCTTCGTTGCTTTGCGCGGGCTCTCTCTAGTTGCAGTGAGTGGGGGCTTCTCTTTGTTGTGGTGCTCAGGCTTGTCACTGCAGTGGCTTCTCTTGTTGTGGGGCATGGGCTCTAGGTGCATGGGCTTCAGTAGTTGTGGCACAGAGGCTCACTAGTTTTGGTGCACGGACTTAGTTGTGCTGAAGCATGTGGGATCTCCCCTGACCAGGGATCAAACCCGTGTCCCCTGCATTGGCAGGTGTATTCTTATCCACTGCACCACCAGGGGAGTTCCATAAAGTGTTTTATACTTGTACTTTCCAAAGCACAGATCTTATACTCTGGTTTCTCTTCAGATAGTATAAATCTTTCGCCTTTTACCAAAGCACAGATCTTTTCCTGTTGGCAGTTGCGGATCTCATAGTATCATGAGATCCTTTGTGTACCAACAGGCCTTGTTTCCTGGCTTCATGGAGAAGGGTAGGAGATTACTCACTCAGAAGCCACAAGTTTAGGGATTTCCCTGGTGGTCCAGTGGCTAAGACTCTGTGCTCACAGTGCAGGGGACCTGGGTTCCAATCCCTGGTCAGGGAACTAGATCTTATATACTGCAACTAAGGCCCAGTGCAGCCAAATAAATAAATATTAAAATTTAAAAAAAAAAGAAGCCACAAGTTAAAATCCTACCAGATTGAGTTACTTGAAGCATCTACTTCTGAGATGCTAGGGGGTAGGGTTGAACCCCTAAAATCTAGCCACGTTTTGCTAGCAATTTCCGGGTTCTCCAGTGTGGTCTGAGTAGGTATGTCTTCCCTAGGCTGGGTTCCAGCTAGGTAAGACATATGGTGTCCAAAGGGATGTCATTTTTGGAGATTCCATACACATTCCTACAGGCTTGGGACATTCTGGAATTTCCCTTTGGAGGATGCTTTCCTGAGCCCTGAACTCACTCAACAGGCACCAAATAATTTTGTGAATGTAATATGCTCTGTGCCAGCTGGGGCATACAAATAACTGCCCACCCGCCTCCTCACCTACAAGAAACTGATAGAAAGACATGATCCAGCCTGCAGAGGGGAAGTCCTCTTTGGTTTTGATGGGTATTACAGGTGGAGAGGGGAATTTCCCAGGTGGCTCAGTGGTAAAGAATCTGCCTGTCAGTGCAGGAGATGTAGGAGACTCAGGTTCAATCCTTGGGTCGGGAAGATTCCCGGAGGAGGAAATGGCAACCCGCTCCAGTATTCTTACCTGGGAAATCCCATGGACAGAGGAGCCTGGTGGGCTGCAGTCCATGGCATCATAAAGAGTCAGACACAACTGAGTGACTGAACACACACAAGTGTGAGAACCCCTTGTTGGCCTCATCTGGTTTCCAGTAATCAGGCTGCCAGCACAAACAGAATTCATCCTCAGAACAAAGGCTGGCCACTTTGTTCAAGCCATTCATGACACTATACCATGGCTTTGTCTGTACCTGTTGATAGGGACAGCTAGTTTTCCCAGGACACTGGGGAAACTAACCTGTGAATCACTAACCTGATTCATAATGGTGAGAAGTAAATACGTTTGGTATTTGCTGAGCCAAATGTAACAAGCCCCTTAAAGCAGTTTCCAAAGGGGGAATTCCAGAAAGGTCTTGTGCTGTGGCACTGTTGAAGGGTGAGCAGAGCCTCCTTGGGTCTCAGAGTCAGGAGAACCTGTGATCGTTTGGACATGGAAGATCTGGTGTGTGTGGTTGTGTCAGTCTCACAAGTTCTTTTTTTTTTTTAATTCCAGAGTAATTGCTTTACAATGTTGTGCTGGTTTCTGCTGTACAACATTGTGAATCAGCTAAAAGTACACATATATCTCCTCCCTCTTGAGCCTCCCCCCGCAACCCCCATCCCAGCCCTCTAGGTCATCACAGAGCACCGAGACAAGCTCTTTTTCTATTTCCCAGGTGCAAGTAAGATAGGGTCTTAAAAAAAAAAAAAAAAGATAGGATCTTGATTTCTTCCAGGAACCTGGCTTGGCTTGTTTTGGGGTGTGTGATCAAATTGGATCAGAGCTGTGTGAGGGAAGGTAGAGCCTACAGCAGACAAGCCAGGGCTGATTTGCAACTTTCCACTGTGTCAGGAGCCCCGGAGAGAGGTTTCCCAACCTTTCTGCCTTTTGAATCTTTTAATTCATAGGATGTATTTTCTTTCTTTTTATTGAGATATAGTTTACATCCAGTAAAAGTCACCTTTTCTGCTGTATAGTTCTGAATAAATACAGTCATGTAACCACCATCGCAGTCAAGATATGGAACATTTCTGTCATCCCCCCAAATTCCCCTGTCTCCCTTTGTCAAAGATCCCAGTCCCTGGCAACCACTGATCCAGTTTCTGCATCAATACTTTTACCTTTCTTAGAAGTACCTTAAAATGAAATCACACAGTGAACAGACTTTTGAAACTGACTTCTTTACATATGCATTTGCAGTTCCTCTGCATTGTTTCCTGAATCAATAGCTCAATCCTTTTTTATGACTGAATAGTATACAGTTTGTTTACTTTTCACCCAGGGAAGGACATTCAGGTTTTAATGGCTGTTGGTAATGACAAATAAAGCCTTGATAAGTATTCGCTCACTGGTTTTTATGTGAACATAGGTTTTTATTTCACACGGGTATTCCACCAGGGAAGATTGTTAGCTTATATGACTGTAGCGCTTTTGAAGTTCTTTTTGATGAAGAGAAAAAGAGTTGAAAAGAGTGGTGATGCTTTTAAAAAATAAAAACTTAAAGCTTTATCATCATCTGAATCACATCTTACACAAGCTGAGTGCTTACCATAAACAATATGCTAAACAGTTTACACCTCAGCATTTTATTCACTAGGTGACCTCAGGCAAGTCATGTAACCTCTCAGAGCCTTGGTTTCCCTACCTGTAAAACAGAGGTAATGACAGGCCAACCTCATAGGATTATTTTTTTTAGCGAAGTTCTTTTTGGCTATGCTGGGTCTTCATTGCTGCACTCGGGCTTTCTCTAGCTGCAGGGCTTTGGCTTCTCATTGTGATGGCTTCTCTTGTTGCAAAGCATGGGCTTTAGGCAACAAGGGCTTCAGTAGTTACGACATTCGGGCTTAGTTGCCCCACAGCACGTGGGATCTTCCCGGACCAGGGATGGGACCCATATTCCCTGCACAGGCAAGCAGATTCTTAACCACTGGACTACCAGGGAAGCCCCTCACAGGATTATTGTCAGGATTAAATTAGTTCATACACATTGAGTGTTTGGAACCGATTTGACACAGAGTAGGACCTTGTCAGTGTTAGCTGTTATTATAAGGTTTATTGCCTGGGCCCTCTCAAATTCACATAGCAACCCTGGGAGGTAAGATCTACTCTTATCCCCATTTTATGGAGAACATACTTAGCAATTACTGAGAACAAGTTGTGCAACATCACATGGGCAGTAAATAAGGAAACAGCAGGTCCAGGTTTTCAACTAAGACTGACTGACTCCAGACTGACCTGCTTAGTTCTTATATTCTTATTCTTAGTTCTTAGTGAAACAGAAGCAATAGG